CATCATCTTTGTATGTCGGAACGCTTATATCAACTCATCATATGTCTGACAGAATGCTTTCATCGCTTTGTTTCTGACTGAACCTGTCAATGTGACTAAAAGAATATTTTTGTGTGACTTTGAGGTGTCAGGTCGGGAAAATGGCACAGACTATTTTGAATAGTTTTGTGCAATTAGTTGCGTTGTGTATAGGAAATTATTAGTTATATTAACTAAGGGTGTGTATTATTGGATATGAATTGTGGTGGTTTTTTATTTTTGTCCATGGACTTCTAAAAAAGTCCACGAACTTTTAAATTTATAGACTTTTTTATGAATGAACTCTATCTGTTGACTTTTAAATCCATTGATATATATGAGGAATGATCTTGTCCATATGGATGGACAGGATGCTCCGTCCAGCCGTCGTCGTTTGGGGCGGTTCCCAGTGGAATGTTTTGATGCTTTTTTTTAAATGTTCTTTATCAAGTTTAGTTTATCCACACAAAAATTCAGCTAAAACCTCATTCGAGAAGGCACTCAAATAATTTTTCGAAGATAATTGCATCAAAATATACATATAAACACATTTTTTTCAAATATTTATTTAACTGCCTTCCCGATTGAACTTTTAGCTGAAATTTAGTATATATAAACTAGACTTGATGAGTAACATGCTCAAAAAATTCTGCCAGGAACCGCCCCAAACGGCGGCGGCCAAACGGAGCATCATGTCCAGAAGGATGGACATGATCTTTTTCCATTGATAAGTTTATAAACTTTTAAAAAGTACATAGACTTTAAATCCTACTGCCGCTGCCGGTCTTCGTAATTTTCACCCAGATCGTCGCTACCGATCTGCCTGAATCTCACCACCGTCCGCAGCCATCACTGGAGTTCGCCGCCGCCATCATCGAACTGATCCGCCACCAACAAAATGACTTTGGTTATGCAAGGTGACTAGGGGCAATTAATTATATTAATTAATTAACTAAATTAGGGGTAGAAATTTAATGTTTAGTCATGTTTAAGAAAAATCAAACATATGATCATACTTTGTGAAGAATGTTATGTTTTAGTCTTACCATGAGTAATTTTCTCTGTATAATATTATAAGAAACAATTAACTAAATAAATGAAACAAATGTAGTTCATCTAGCAATAGCGATAAGAATAAATGAATCATAAGCATGTAAAGAAAACTCAAAGTTTTGAGAATGCTAAAAAAACCCAATCTCTCTATAAGCAATTGTTATATTACAAAATTAAATGATCGAGTAAGAACACTAATCGTTACACAAGCGGTACAGTCATTGCTTCATGTGGTACGAAAACAGGTGCAATTGAGTTTTTCTTCTTAATAATTTTTTCTTTTCATTCTTATCTTTTTAAATTTTGTTTACTTATTTAGGGTAAAATATTTATTAAGTTGAAATTATGTTTTTATGTGTTAGCGATTTAATGATGAAACACATTCATAAGTAATGGTTAACTGACAACATACCAAAATTGTACCGATATAATATTATTAGTTCTTCAAATGGTTTCTATTTTTTTCACGAACTGAACAGATCTCAGCCCTTCATTTTCCTTCGTAAGACGATATACAAAAAATCACTTTTTTAGGTTATCTTGTGTATCTATATTAATGTACAATTTCCTTGTTCAACTTTATTTATCGTAGAATGATAAAAAAATCAGAATTTAATTCTCAAATCTTGCATATTGAGACCAACCCGGTACCCACCTTACAATCCTGCCTGTACTAGTTCAGGACGTGTTGATCGGTTTGCGATTTCAATAAATAATTAGTCAAATCTAGTGTTATTATGCAACCAAGTCTCTCTGTACTTGTAACAAGTAGAAGACAACAATAAAGTCCACGAAAATCGTTGTTAAGGAGAATAGACAATTGCAAAGAATTAATATACTTAAAATGAGTTAAAAGTTCATGAGAATCCATGGTTAATAAACTACTTTAAAGACTTTTAAAAATCTATATTAAATATATACATCTAGATTTTTTTTAACTTTTGAAAATATACATTGAATACACCTAAACTTTTAAATTGTATGTACTTATATAGTTTTGACACTAAATTATAATGCAATACACCATAAATTTGAATTTATTAATGTAGTATATAATGTTTCATACTTATAACTTATATTAACTCCGTCCCAGCGGACTTTGCACTCCTTAAGTTAGGTGAGAACTCCAAATAAGAATACTAAAAATTGTGTTGTTGAAGTTTATGCAGAGGAGAGAGAAATGAGTAGAACCACAAAATAGTTACTTTAATGGGAAAGTGGTAAAGTTTTTTGGAACAACCAAAAAAGGAAAGATGAAAAAGTCCAATGGGACGAATGGAGTATTATTCACTTGTTAATTACTCCCTCCATCCCGCTAACAATGAGACAAGAGACAGTGATGTAGAGCGACACAAGCTTTGCCAAATTTGGTGTGAGATAATCTTAATGGGACGAATCGATAAAATAAAACGGAACAATCATAGGAGGACGGAGGTAGTATATATTAATTTCTCACTTCCGGTACCACAAAAATATCTGCATCTACCCGCTTGACACCACTAACTCAATTTATATTATCACGGAGTACGCCGTATTATTTTGGAAATTACACCCAATCACTGTCAAGTATCAACCACCACGTACACTTAATTCATAATGTCACAAAAATATCTTGGTGACGTAAGTGTAGGGGTTTTCCATTAAATGAATCCACTTTGAACAAAAGTATATAACTTTTAATTTAAAAAAAAAAATCGTATGACCTCGCGTTAAAAGTATTTATCCTATACCAGAAAACTATAAAACAATAAAACACTATATAAGACTTTGGATATTCCTTCTATCAGGTTGATTTTTTAGCATGTAATCCCGGGTCTTGACACTTCGGGTATCATATACTACCTCCATCAAAATTCTTCACTTGTTAGTTTGGATCAGATCATCAAAGTTTAAGAAATGTACGAGTATGTTTCTGAAAAGAAACATGGAAAGAATTTTTTAGCCCATCCCAAAAAGTTAAGTGGAAAGAATTTTGAGGGATGAAGGCAGGAACGGATCCGGGATTTTGAGTCAAGGGGGCCGGAATTTTTTTCGTTAGTGTAGTGGGTGAATTTTTTCGCTAGTGTAGTGGAGCGAAACTTTTATCGCTAGTATAGCAGGGCGATTTTTTTCAATAGTATAGTGCTTTGCGGCTAATTTTTATTCAAAAAGAATTTATAGGTACATACATGATGACATTTAAATATACTACATTCTAAGTTTAACAATGGAAAAATAACTTGGATTTTATAATTGTAAGTGCTTTAGAAAAAAAACTATTGATACATTAAAGCGTAAGAAATAGCAAATCAAAGAAAAATTGTTTGAAAATAAAAGAGAATATATAACATTTTATCAAATTATTTGAAGGTAAAAGTTTAAAAGGTATGGTGCACAACCACCAATGCTTTTTAAATAACTCTTGTCATGTTTAATCACATGAATTTTATCGGTACAAGGAATTGATTTTTGAATTGCAATTTTGTTTACCAAGAAAGGTGTTCGCGAGTCATGAGGAGTTTTTCTAATATTACAATACTATTTTTGAGATTATTATTTTTAGAATAATATTATATTGCTAATTCTTATATATGGTGTATATTAAATTTGTATTAATGCCTAAAATAAGTTAAACTTTATTATCTATGCAATAAATTAAATTATTTTTAAAAAGTTAGAAGTAAATGAATTGTGTAATTTTAGATTAAATTCACATGATCTAAAATATGTTTAACTAGTGTGTCTCGTATTTAATATTGTTTGATAGTTTACAAATCGAGTACTAATAATCTAATAAATTAAAGATAATTAAACATTTCAAAACTATGATTTTTATATAATAGGTATCCTAAGTCTTAAACAATGAGTTGTTCTATTATTTATTTGTTTAAGTTATGTAAATTATTTTAAATGTTTCATCTTTTAACTCTCCAATTAAGTAACACTATATATTAATTTTGAAAACTAAAAGTTAAGGGGGACGAACACATATATATCTAATTAAAATATAGAAATTTTATGAAAATATTACATATATAGTAGAAAAAATGAATTTTATCAATTCAGGACCCGAAAGATAAATGAATTATCAATCAGGGACCTAAAAGATGAAATGTATCGATATAAGACCCTAATGATGGAAAACTATCAATTTAGGACTTGAATGATTGGAAATCATCAATTTAGGACCTAAGTTGTCTGAAATTTTATTAATTTTTTTATCTTAAATTTTTTAAATATTATTTAGTTTTATGAAACTAATAAACTTTTTGTGAAGAAAAGTTTATCAAAAATTAGCAATGGAATTAATAAAAAAAAAAATCAAAACCTATGAAATTTTAGGTCCTAGATCGATAGTTTTTCATTATTCGGGTCCTATACCGATAGATCTCATCTTTCAGGTCCCGAATTGATAATTCATCTATCTTTCGGATCCTGAATTGATAAAATTTTTAGAAAAAATTGAAAGTGGAAGGGGGCGACAGTCCCCGCGCCCCCCTTAAATCCATCCCTAAGGGGGTTACGAGTAATATTTACGTCTATCCTACTTTTGATCATTATTTTTGAAATTGTACACCCAATCATTCTCAATATGATTGGGTTGGAAATGATTTCACTTTGTGTTAATACAGCTCTTCTGTTATGTGTGGAGGCAAGTTAATACAATGTTAGTGAACACATTAAATCTATATATCTTCTTTAACTTCCTTTAGCTTTTACACATTCCATTTTCTTTGATCTTACTATAATCTCTCATAACATGACACGTGAGAGAAACTTAATTCTGCCTTAATTGCTCACACTCTAGTAGTGTGTCGCTAAAACTGTGAAATGTTTTGACTAGCTTTTTATAGATAGTAGAGATAACGTTAGGGATCATCAAAGGCTTTATGGCTCAATGCTCTTATATAAATTATAATCATAAGCATTCTTCCATTAATTCTTCCAATTGTCTACTTCTGAACTTCATGTTTTTCTACTTTAATTAGGTTTTTTTCTTTACTTGCAGCGCAGCTCATCAATGGCTGTTCTTAGGCCAAAAAGGAGTCTCTGATGTGTCTTCATTCTTTATAGTTTGCAGGTAGTTCATTAGAAGTTTGTGCCCCCGATTAAGAGTCCGTTTGGTGAGCCCTTTTTTCGGCTTAGCAAGCTTATCAGCCAGCTTTTTCATCAAACACGTAACTTTTGATTTCGTGCGCTGAATTTTGTAATAAGCAGAAAAAGTAAGGTTGGAGTTACTTTTCTGGCTGTATCGGCTGAAGTTACTGTAGAAGATCATTTTAGCTATTTTTACATATAATTTTTTCTTTATTTTATTAATAAAATATATTTTAAAATTAATTTTTTCATGAATCAGCAAAATCAGTCAATACAACCACTTCAGCCAGAACTTCATAAATTTCAGCAAAATCAGCCGATTCAGCCGATTTCAATGTTACCAAACGGGCTCTAATACTTAATCTGTCTCTTTTTGTAAGTTACATTTTTCTTTTCTTTTTTTAGATAATTGTCCCATCAATATGAACAATTTCTTATTTTGAACTTTATTAATGTTTTACTTTCCCGCTTATCTATCATTTACCCTCTATTTTTTGTAGACGCATATTACTCGTTCTTACTTTTTCAATGTTTAGAATGGTACGTAAAAGAATCATTTTATCTTTTATTTTCTTAAAACTCGTGTCAAATTTATATATTGGGACGGAGGTAGTACGTCTTAATGACCGAAATTGGAAGAAATATAGGCTGCTAAGTATTCATATCATATGTAAATTATGATATTCATAATTATTCATTATTATTCCTAAAAGTCGTGATCATCTATTCATTATTATCAACACTCTCAGTATAATATTGTGGTTGATCGTGTTTCGAATCAGATGAAGTTTTAAATATATACTCCCTCCATTGTTAAATAAAGTATCCTTTTTTAAAATGTATGATATTCAAATCGGGAAATTTAAATAAGGATGAATGAATTAATAATAAACTTTATTTTTTCTAAAAAAGTTGTTTTATCATGAAACACTCATGAAAAACATTCAAGGGTAGATGATTATTAATTTCAAGGGACATCAAAAGTTCCTATTTTTCAAAGTATGGTTATGGTTAACATTCCCTACAATATTTGAAATAAACTGATTCGCGATGAAAGAGGCACCAATTTTTTTAATGTTTATTTTAGTTCAATTTCTGTGCAACTTTTATCGGTGAAGTTTAATCCAACTACGAGAGCTATATCTACGAGAGCAGATGAAAATATGGCAACGTAAGACAGTATTCTATTATCCAAAGTTTGATCCATTGATAAGAAGTTTACAGGAAGTATTTATTGACTAAATGAACTAGTATTCTAGGACGAAACTGATGCAGTAAATGTTATTAATTGTACATTAGTTGGAGTAGGACTCTTGTAACGTTTTTCCCGTTGTGTATAGTGATCATTCCCTTAAGTCCACGTTTCTGTCGATAGCTCCCGCCTGCTGCCAGATAGCTATTCACGAGTGATAGTCTGCCACGTAAGCCCTAGGAATGTTCTGACCCAACTAGAACTCCGCCCAGACTCGAGATCTGCTGCCCAGCCTGGCCTGATTGTGGGTTCCTATTGTGAGTCTGATTCCTAGTTAGGCCCAGCAGCTAATTAACATTTATCCCGTTTAAGGGTTAATCCCTTTGAGGGCTTGATCCCGTTATGGGCTAATCCTGTTGAAGGCTTGATCCCGTCATGGGCTTGGTCTGTATTTCTGTAATTGGGTCATGGATGGAGTCCATGGTACCATCAACGTGCAACTTTGAGGCATCAATGAACACACTCGTGCACCATATTTCATGTTATTGGTAGATATACTTTACCAAGTTGAATATACTTTACTAACTTATTTTATCTACTAAATAATAATCCCTTCATCCTCTATCTATGTTTCATTTTATTTTTTCACTGTCCTACTAAATTTGTCCTACTAAATTTATCTCATATTATATTTGATAGTATATATTTGTAGGGTTATAATTCATTTCTTACTTTATTACATTTTTTAATACAATAAGTAAGTAGTATCAATCACACAGATCACTTTTGTTAATACCTAACCACCCCTCTTGTTCCAATTTTAGGGGGATGAAGGTAGTATTAAATATTGACCAATTGCGGAAAGAGCGTGTAAAAATGAGTTTCATATTAAGAAAGTTATGTCAATAGTATAAATAGTCAAAATGAATTTTAGATGTGGACACATGCCCAACTAGATCAATAGAAGTTATGTTTGAATTTAATTAGCAAACAAATAAGCCAATAAGAGTCAAAACAAAATTGAAATTGTTGAGTACAGGATCAAAACATACATAAAATGTAAAAATAGAACTTAATGTGTTTTATTCTCCAAATAGAATAAAACACATTAAGAATAAGTTGATTTCTTTTTAAAATATGAATAAAAAAGTCTTATTTTATGCATAAAACAAAAACTTTTCTACCAACTTATCTTTTTTTAGTTCTATTTTCATAATTTTCTCAAACAAACTAATGTGACAATTATTGTAACATTTTAACATTATTGGGGATGTGTTTGAAAGAAATGAATCAATTACCAAGTCAATGGCTCATAAGAAAAATGTGTTACCATCAAGGAAAACTGTGTTCTTGAATTATCCATGCGCGGATGCGCCTGCATAATTGACCACCACCAAAGTCAGATGCGCGTAAATGCATGCTTGCTGGTCGTGGTCCATTAGCATTCATATATCTATTGAACAAGATGGTAATCCATGACTGTGAGGCCTCTTTCCAGAAGAAGTTGATCAAAGATATTAAAGAGGAAAGAAGGAGAAGAAAACAAGAAAAGGAGTTGGCCGGAAATGTCAAACTCCGATCACCAGAGCTACCCATACCACCACCACTCCGACACGGAAGCCGTCGGAGCTGATAGGAAGCTGTTCAGCGGTCCACTGAATCAAAGGGCCGGGAAAAGGAGCGTCCGGCTCAACCTCCCCGGCGACTCTGTCTCGTCGGAGTCAGGGATCCCGTCGGCCAAGCCCTCAGATGAGGACTCCTACGTAGAGATCACCCTCGACGTCCGGGAGGACTCCGTTGCGGTCCACAGCGTGAAGACAGCCGCCGGCGCTGACATGGAGGACCCGGAGCTTGCCCTGCTGGCAAGGGGCTTGGAGAAGAAGACCAACTTAGGATCCACCGTCGTTAGAAACGCTTCGTCCCGAATCCGGCAAGTCTCGCAAGAGCTCAAGCGCTTAGCTTCACTGACGACGCGGACCCATCACGGCGCCGGCAGGTTTGACCGGAATAAGTCCGCCGCTGCTCAGGCTCTGAAAGGGCTCAAGTTTATCAGCAAGACAGACGGGGCCTCCGGCTGGGCCGCCGTCGAGAAGCGGTTCGACCAGCTCACTGCCTCCACCAGTGGGTTGCTCCCACGGGCAAAGTTCGGTGAATGCATAGGTAATTAATTTTCTAAAGAATTTAATTGTTCATATTTTCTTGAGGTTATGATTTGGCTGACAACAAAAAAAATTGTGGAACTTAATGATGATTAGGTATGAACAAGGAGTCAAAGGAATTTGCCGACGAGCTATTCGCTGCTCTAGCTAGGAGGAGAAACATAACCTTTGATTCCATCAACAAAGCACAGCTCCAAGAATTCTGGGACCAAATCTCTGATCAGAGTTTCGACACCCGCCTTCAAACCTTCTTTGATATGTAAGAACATAGTTAGGATTAAGTTTTGGATGATGATCATAGAGCATTCCTAATCCTAACTAATGGACATGAAATTGTAGGGTTGACAAAGATGCAGATGGGGCAATCACTGAAGAAGAAGTCAGAGAGGTAGAGTCTTATCTTTATTACTAGCTGTTTCTCTGTTACTATTGTTTTGGTTATTCACTTTATTTCTGGAGTGTATCTCTAAATGATAAGATTGTGGGTATGTATCATTGAGTTTGGCCATTTCTTATTGTGCAGATCATAAGCCTAAGTGCTTCTGCTAATAAGCTGTCAAATATCCAAAAACAAGCTGATGAATACGCCGCCATGATTATGGAGGAACTAGATCCTGGCAACCTAGGATACATCAAGGTACCTACATACTAACTAAAAGTTGATGTCATACTATTTTTATAAACTCAAATGTCAGTCTTCAATTGCTTAACAACTAATATGTGGGTTAGAGTCCCTAACAAATATGACAGAAACTTATTATGTTAGTTGTCCCGCATTGGATGTCAACCTGTTCCATAGTTGTATGTGGGCTCCTATCAAAAGGATGTGTCTCCCCATGAGATGTCAGATATCAAACCTAAAGATATATGCCACTAAAAAAATTGCACAGTCGAGACGATATATTGGGCTGAGAGGTGTTTGCCCCTCTCAAGCAGAAAAATGAATTGTATGATTAGATTAAGTGTGTAGTCATGAGGAGTGGTAACGAGTTTGTCTCATATTGTCTTAATATGCAATAGCAAACTAACTTATAAGATTTTGAGCTACTCAAGTCTTAATAGTTTACAAGTTCTTGGGTTGAACTAACTAATTGATTATATTCAATCTTCAAGTGTATTTTGGTCAAGTGTATTATGACCAAGTTGAATGACCTAATAATCTGATCTAGAGTTCTATTGATTTGATTACATGTGTAACAGATTGAGAATTTGGAGATGCTGTTATTGCAAGCTCCAAGCCAGACAGTAAGAGGGCATGACAGCCGTAATTTGAGCCAAATGCTGAGCCAAAAACTGAAGCCGACGGTGGAGCCAAACCCTCTGATCCGATGGTACAGAGATTTCAAGTACTTCATGTTGGACAATTGGCAGAGAGGTTGGGTGCTTCTACTGTGGATCGGAGCTATGGCTGGGCTGTTTGTTTGGAAATACATTCAGTACAAGAACAAAGCTGCTTATGATGTTATGGGTGCCTGTGTTTGTATGGCTAAAGGTGCTGCAGAAACACTGAAGCTGAACATGGCTATCATTCTTTTACCTGTCTGTAGAAACACCATTACCTGGCTGAGAAACAAGACCAAGTTAGGCAAGGCGGTCCCTTTTGATGACAACCTCAACTTTCATAAAGTAAGTGCTGATCCATGTTCGGATACTTGCTGTCCTGATTGTCAAGTCATTCTACTTCAAAACAAATTTATCATATAAGTCATTTGATTTATGTATCAGGTTATCCTGAATTTAATATCTTAATATAGTATGAGAGCCCAAGTTGTCCGATGTTGAGACCACCATCTACATTTGTTTTCTTGTGAACTCCAGGCGTCTAGGAGACATGTTTGAGTTCCACTTTGGAACCTTACAGGCTCGTTTGTTTCACGGATATCCCAGGGGGGAGATAAAAGTTATTCTTTAACTTATTTTACATTAATACGGTTTGAAATGAAGTAGTGATAAAAAAACTATATAAAAATAAATGATCTAATTAATCTTATAACTATTTCTAATCCAAAACTAATAAGTCGAGTTAAGTAGATAACTTAGTAAATAAAAATAAATTCTCCCTTCTTGTTTCCTCCAAAATCCCTGAATTAAATAAGTCCTAAAGGTCTTTTCAATAGCTTAAATATAGAGGGCAATCCTAAAAATACAAACTGATATATGAGGTTTCGGGTTACTCCTCTTATATGTTTTGTCTTGACTGCAAGGTTATTTCAGATTAACAGGCGACTACTCGTATTAAAATGTGTAGACATTCTCTAGTTGTGATAGTTAACTCTTGTAATGACGTCTCACAGTGACTATGTTACATTTCTTTAGGTGATAGCAGTGGCTGTGGTGATTGGGGTAGGAATACATGCAATAGCTCACTTGACGTGTGACTTCCCTAGGCTTCTGCACGCGAGCCGGGAGAAGTACGCTCCAATGGAGCAGTTTTTTGGACATCAGCCACAAAACTACTGGTGGTTTGTGAAGGGAGTGGAAGGGGTAACAGGGATTATTATAGTGGTCTTGATGGCTATAGCTTTCACCTTGGCTACTCCATGGTTTAGAAGGAATAGAGTGACCTTGCCAAAACCCTTTAACAAGATTACTGGTTTCAATGCTTTCTGGTATTCCCACCACCTCTTTGTCATTGTCTATGCTCTCCTCATTGTCCACGGTATCAAGCTCTATTTGACACATAAGTGGTACATGAAAACGGTTAGTGTCCAATACATTTCCTTGTGTGCTGTTAATATAAATTTTTAAATGGGATATTTCCGTTGAAGCTTTAATGAATTGGTAAATTGCAGACATGGATGTACTTGGCTATTCCTGTGGTAATTTATGCTTGTGAAAGATTGCTTAGGGCATGCAGGTCTAGCATTAAGCCTGTCAAGATTCTCAAGGTAAGAATTACGTTAATTGTATCATCTTTATTATTTATTTGTGCCTCATCTGTTCCACAAAGATAGGCCACATTCGAATGATGTTGAAATTTGACAATTGATTTACTCAAAATGAATTCTAACATGAAGGTAATATAAAATGACACTTTGACACTTTGACGTTTTGGTGCTATCATAAAAATACAAAATTTATAGTTTTCACTAAAACATATTGATAAAATGTATTGGCTACAATTGAATGCCTTTGACAAAAAAAGGGGTAAATGTGACCTATTTTTGTGGGATGGAAGGAGTAATTAATTCTAGAATGTTATTAATTGTTTTCCATGTTTGACTGATCCTGCAAAATGTGAAGGTGGCTGTCTATCCTGGGAATGTGTTAGCTCTTCATATGTCAAAGCCTCAGGGCTTCAGATACAGAAGTGGTCAATATATGTTTGTCAACTGCGCTGCAGTTTCTCCTTTTGAATGGTGAGGGACTACCCCTGTAAAACACCAGTTATATACTCATTAATTCTGTTTATTCTTCCAGAAATTTATGTTTCCCATTACTTTGAATTTTCTTAATGTTTTGGTGATCCATATTCGCATTACAGGCACCCCTTTTCAATTACATCTGCCCCAGGAGATGACTATGTTAGTGTCCACATTAGAACCCTTGGTGATTGGACGAGACAGCTCAAAACTGTTTTCTCACAGGTAAATATTTTACCCTTTTTACCTCTTTACAGCACATAAATATTTAATAAATACTTCGTATCAGCTTTATATTCACCACCACTAAACATAATTAGCAACACTATCTTAATGATGTCTTGTGTTGCATTTGTTTGTTTAGGTATGCCAGCCACCACCTAATGGGAAAAGTGGACTCCTAAGAGCAGATTACCCTCAAGGGGACAACAATCCCAAGTAAGGGTCATTTTACCTATCTTGAAAGCAAACTTCTATCTGGTTTCATGCTATTACCCATACAAGTGTAAAATACCTTTGATGATTACGGTTTTGGAATATGTTCTCTTTATTCCTTAATGAGGTTATGTCAGGAAAGACTGACTGAAAGACGTTCGGCGTAGGATTTTAACTATGATCAACAATTACTGACGCTAAATCTCTTGTCACCTGACACTAATAATTGGGATTAAGGTGGCAAAGATGATCAAACCATACCTTTCCCGCTTCACGAGATATATATATACTAAAAAAATCACTTTAGTCCTATGACTATTGTGATATATCACTTTGGCGCCTGTTTTTAACTCCTTCAACTTTTAGTCATCTTACTATCGTAACAAATACACTTTTGGTCCTCGCCATCAAATTTTGCGATAATAATAGGACCAAAAGTGATACAATTACAATAGTTGGAGAACACATAATTTCACTGTTACAACTTGAAGGTGGAAAGTTTTAAAACGTATCAAAGAAGTCTCTCTATAATAGTAGTCAGGAAATATAAAAAACGAGCATGAAAAGTTTCATTGCCACAATAGTCGGAGGACTAAATGTGGAAAAATTCTTGATATGGTTATCAATATCTAGATATGAGAATGTTATATTTATGGGTAGCTGACTTAATTAAAAATGGCAGTTTCCCGAAGGTGATGATTGATGGACCTTACGGAGCACCAGCACAAGACTACAAGAAATATGATGTGGTTCTGCTAGTAGGTCTAGGAATAGGCGCAACCCCTATGATCAGCATAGTAAAGGACATTGTGAATAACATGCAGGCAGAGGAAGAAGAGAGTGGGGTGGAGAATGGGCATGGAGTTGGCAGCAACAATGGAGGGAGAAACTTCAAGACAAGAAAGGCGTACTTCTATTGGGTAACGAGGGAGCAAGGGTCATTTGACTGGTTCAAAGGGATCATGAATGAAGTGGCTGAGATGGACCATAAGGGAGTCATAGAGATGCACAACTATTGCACCAGTGTTTATGAAGAAGGTGATGCCCGGTCTGCCCTCATCACTATGCTTCAGTCCCTCCACCATGCCAAGAGCGGCGTCGACATCGTTTCTGGAACACACGTTAAGTCTCACTTCGCCAAGCCTAACTGGCGCAATGTTTACAAGCGTATCACCCTCAACCACACCAATGGCAAAGTTGGTGAGTTATACTTTTTCTTATCTTTCTATGTTTTCATAAGACCCCCACCAAGATTTGCCATTTCTGCTTTCTTGATAAAAAAGTTCCGACCAGTAGTATAGTATTATAAAAAATGGTTAAAGTATGGGAGCAACATGAAATGTTCTTTATACTTATGATAATACAAAAGTTATAATCTTTCACTTTTAGAAGTTATAATGAAGGTTAAGGTATAAACTTTGCATCCAAATAACTCTGGCTTGTGCATTTTGGAAAATTTGTTTTTGCAGGGGTTTTCTATTGTGGGGCGCCAGCTCTGACAAAAGAGCTAAGACAACTAGCCTTGGATTTTTCTAGGAAGACATCCACCAAGTTTGATTTCCACAAAGAAAATTTTTGACCTATTAATTACTAAAGTTAAGAATAGATTGCACAACTACTCCCAATGTCTAGTGTACAGAGGTTGTTGATTATTGAATGATCAGTTTTGTATGAAGTTGAAATCTACAAGAATATTTCAAAAATGGCGGCCATATGTTGACCGTTACAGGCAGTGGAATTCATTTGACTTTTGATGAGAGGACCCTTAAGCACTCATGGACGTCTAGAATATTAGACATCCATATCAAGTTATCAACTCGACCGGAGCATGAAGACCAGATCACCAGAGTGACGTCAATGCATATATGTATATATATACACATATACATACATACATAAATGTATGTTTGTATGTATGTATGTATGTACACATATAGAATTTGGTTCAAATACAAATTATTTCACAGGTCTTATAAAAAAATCATAGGTGAAAAACACTTCCTGTGTTCCTTTAAGTTTGTTCCATTTTTTTCTTTTTCATTTGTCTATTAAATGTCACATATGTAGTGTAATGTTTGGTAACATTTGTATGATTATAATTCATCCATGCTTTATTTATATTTTATAACTCAATACTAATTGCATAATTCTACTTTTCTTGAGAACTGTATCACACCCTCTTGCAATTTTAGGGGGAAGAGTAGTAAGAACTAATACTACATATTAGTCATTGATTTGAAAGTTTTGATGAAGGATATCAAATTTCAAGTAAAAATGTGGTGATGTGATGATGTCGTAATAATCGAGACGAATTTTAGATGAATGTAATGTAATAATGTTTATTAAAATATATAAAAGTTATTTATTAAAATATAGTATTATACAAAAGTGAATTAGAGTATAAATTAAAATGTGCATAAGTTTAAGAAATAAGATGACTCTTAATACCGATGAGTGAGGGCACAATGGATTATTAACTTAACTAGTATGTAACTCGTGCGATGCGCCGGGAAAAATATTCTTTTAGGTTATTTATGATTTTTATAAATCAAAATGTTAATGAGTGATAGTTAAGTATTAAAGAAAAACGTAATACATGTATAATATACTCCTTCCGTTTCCAAAAGAAAGTCACGAGTTGACTTCACGGTTATTAAGGAAATAAATTGACTTTACTATAGAAAACACTGTTTAGACACTGTTTTGTATGAAGTTGGAATCTATTAGGTTATTTATTAACTTAACTAGTATCGCACGGGGCAAAATATTCTTTTAGGTTATTTATGATTTTTATAAATCAAAATGTTAATGAGTGATAGTTAAGTATTAAAGAAAAACGTAATACATGTATAATATAACAAAAAATGACATTTATAGTTGGTATAACAAATACAAATACAATAAAATGATTACATCACAAAAGGTAGAATTACACGTTTTGAAGAATCTTAGGATACACAACGTTTATTGTGGAACTACTTTAGATGTCGTTGTTGTTGCATATTAATATTTTCAATCCTTGTCAGGTGGTGAATCGTGACACAACAACATAAAGTTGACCATGACAAAAAATAGAATTCCTTAAGAACAACCCGTCGTGAGAAAGCAATTGGCCTTGACTTTTATGGATTGTCATTGCATATGAAATAGCAATTGAGATTTGTCTTCATTGAAACTTAAATGACATTTTCACATCTTAAGGAGTCAATTTTAATCTTAGAATCAACACTTTTTGTCATAAAATATGTCTGGATGATTAACTTTGAGGCATAGTAAGAAGCTAGGGTGGGCATATTGGTTTGATTTAACCGAACCGTACCAAACCGAACTAAACCAAACCGCAACCGAACCGTATGCAATTTGGTTTGAGTTTGGTAGAATTTCTTCAAACTGAACCGTATGCAACCGAACCGTATTAAACCAAACTGAACCGAAACTGATAAAAACCGAACAAAACCGAATCGAACTAAAGAGATTCAATAAAACCTTCATATATTATTAAAAAATAACCAATCCAAACTGAACCAAACCGAACTAAACTGAACCAAACCAAACCGAAAAAATAGTATGGTTTTTGTTTGGTAATAATTCTCTCAACCCGTTCTGAATCGAACCGAAACTGATAAAAACTGATTGGTGCAAAATGTATACAGATTTACCAAAAAGCTTATATTGGTTAATAAGTTGTGTTTGATGGACCGTCTAGGCTTAAAATGCGACGACTAACTTCCATTTTGATTTGAAAACTTTTTAGATGAGATGCAAGTCAGTTTATATGCATGCTTTGAGCTTTTTAAAGTAACCACTTGAACAAGTATTAAATCACATGGTAGTTCCCATTCAAAAAACAATTAAAGCTCATAGGAAGCAAATATACTTGCATGCCTCTCCTTGTTGGAGAAGATTTTTTTGAATGTTTTGTTCCCTCTTTCACGTAATCATTTTTTAACACTTGCAATACACTTTTATGTGTGCAGTATACATATTGCACTCTCTATCATAAATAAAATTGTGCACATTAAAGTTCTATATATTCACATTTTTTCCTTCCCGTCTTTTAATTAATAATAGTCATATATTCCATCTCTTTTTAAGTAATTATTATTATTGAAAGACAAAATGCATTCTCTTCCTTAATAGGAATGACTATTTTTTACTTGATCCATCTATTGATATATAGGATGTGATTCTAAATTCTAATAAGACTAATAAGAGTAATTCATCATATGAGAAATAAGAATAATTCGATACTATCGTGGCAGCAGAAAAGGTCAATTAAATTACAAAAATACCACCATATTCTATAATTCACGGTAGTGTACATTTATATTTCATATAATGCACAAACGCAAATCAAACACACCATAATCATTCTCATTTCTCAAAGCCATAGATCCATTATTACTTGATCCAAATTTTATGTACACACAAAACAATGACCTAGGATTGAACAAATGCAACATTCGTATCCCGTCATACCATGCCAGGTTTACACTGGTTATATTATTATAAGAATAACAATCTGATACTGTATTTGACCTTGCAAATTAAAACGAAAGGGATCACTCATGAAGTGTGAATACAAGGTTAAAAGAACATCTTCTCAGTTGCACATGCATGGAGCACAAGCGTCAATATATGGCAGTGAAATTTTGACATTTCTCAATAAAAATTAATACAGACAGTTGCGAAACAAAAAAAAAACTACTTGGATTCTTGTGTTTCAGCAGTCGTGATTGCAGCAGGGTCACCCTTTTCAGCGTCCAGCTCAAGTGTTTTAACAGCCTCCAACGTTTTATAGAACTCCTCAGGAAGAGGACCGGGGCGGTGCAGTGGGAGATGTTTGGGTACTGGAGCATCATTTTCAACAACCTCACATTCATAATCATCCGGGAGACCCCATGGTTTCCACTCTGCATTCACATATGGCGTAAGGCATAGACCCCATGTTTGGGTACAAGACATAAGGCATGCATATGATATTTTGATACAGACAAGCTAAAGGTGGCTAAGAGCATACAACACAAGAATTTGAGAGTTTGGCAAAGCATATCTAGTCTTTGGTGATAGGTCATGTGTGCATGCTATGAGTCATGTACTCCCTAAGTTCCAAATTGCTGTTTTTGTATTTACTCATATATTAACAAATCAATTTTTTTCTAAAATCAAGATTAGTCTTTGGTGATAGGTCATGTGTGCATGCTATGAGTCATGTACTCCCTAAAGTACCGCATAACATTTATGGATGCAGTAGGGTAATGGTGGAAAATAATCAGTTAATGCTTTCTTGATATTCTAGAGGGGCAGTTATTTGAAAACCACTTTCTCTCTCGGAAGCAACACTTATTTGATAATGAATTTCTCTCTAAAGAAATACTTCAAAGAAAATGGATGAAGTACAATTTGAGGGGATAATTGTAGTAAGCACCCAAGCTTAACCCTGCATTCAATTTCATGAACATCAAAGGTGTTGTATTGTTGTAATAACCTTACTTTCAAAGACAATAGTTATTTATTAGAGTGAATGTAACGGTATAATTAACTTTTCATGTAGTTGATATTAAATGTCAAGTGGAACTTGGTTGCACAGTATAACTTCATATTTTCATGCCTCCTACACTTATACATAGGCATGTGCATACAAAGATCATGTATAGTAGTCAACTCGACCTCAAGCAATAAGTCAGATAACAAAACATGTGCCCTGCTAACAGTGCTAAGTTGGCAAACAAGGCCTCCATTTCTCAAGTGCTCATATAGGTATGCTTCTGTCAGTCTCTTATTTTACACTTCCAAATTTCAAGAGCATGATTCCTCCATATACATATAATGAAACTGAGAAACATTGTAGTCTGACTCAGGAGCTGAACTGTAGCAACTGTGCCATGGCTGCCAATTAATGTAAGGCAGGCATAGTCCAGAGGTTGAATTACAAACCTATACAGCCAATAAAGGCTAGATTATCTATACTAACAACAAAAAGAGACCCACACCAAAATAGAAAACAATTATTAAATCAGACAAACTTTTGATCTTCGATCAAGTTCAGCTAGTCTATGCTACTTGAACTTTTTGCCATGCAAGATACTTTCTCCTTCACCCCCAACAACAAAATGCTCATTCCGATTAATTATTGGTCCCACTCTCACACTATGAGTCTTGTCAACTTTGTTATTAAGTAAATAAGATTCTTCTGTAGCGAACCATTCATATCTTGTAAAAGCTTCTACCTTGAGTGATTTGACTAAAAATAATAAACTGTGCTGTACTTGGACATGACTTTTTTTCGACAGAAAAGGTATACAATGCTCTCTGCCTATGTAGTAATTTAATGTACTTTTAAAAACGAACAGATAGGTCGTGGATATGGGTAGATGAAATACTTTAGATATTTCAAAAGACGTTATGAAGCTGTCCTGAATTTAATCACAACCATGTAACGGATATAGATAACAGTCATGCCAACTTCCCAAGTCATGGTAAAGGTGGCACTGTGGCAACAATGGGACCGAACCGTTTCTGCAGTGGCATTTCATAGCCTTTACTGAGTAAACCTAAAATCAAATGCGTACAGACTATACACTGTGTTGCTATTCAATTCAAGCGAACAAGTTTGAAACTAACACCAGTATCTATCATGTGCCAATGCATATATATTCATTGTATTATTCTGTGTAGCCTATTAGTGAAATGAACCATTTAACAGTGCTAACCCAAGTACTCAGTCATCTATCATGTCCCACATTACATGCTACTCCGTATTTAAGATGCAATTTCACATTCAGTATGCATACATAGCTACACTTAATGCCTTGTAATTCCATCCAAAAGAAATCCGCCTCAAATTCATCTGATTCTGGTAAGAAGGATTACACCCACCCACTCACCCCGTTGTTACAATTATGGAATTTCAGCGTTAAATACAGTGCCCTAATCATTCAGATTTTGAAGAAGTTATCACAATAGCATTGTAAATGTTGGTTTTGAGCATCTCCAAACAACAATTTACATGGTTATCCTGATTCATGAAGACTAACACAAGCGCACCATATGTAAATTTTCAAAACTTAAATTAGCCAGGATTGGATATTAGTTTTGAATACTAAAAAATCTATTCTTTTCACCATTAATTCAAGCTCTTCAGTGCAAAATATTCTCAAATTCGCCAAGCAAATACCCAGGCAATTGAACTTGAATAGAGCACAAAGGTAATGTGGAAGTTCTGAGATATGAAATTACTAGATACAATTAAGTCAGGAGTAAGTTCAGCATTTGAGATACGGACCGTTCATGTAACCAATGAGCTTGAGTTCATCTCTGGCCTCCTCAACAAGCTCTTCAACCTGACCACAACCGAGTCGCTTCTCGATTGATTCCCAGTCCTCTTCCTCAAGACAGACACTAAGACGATGGCGTGTGAAACTCTCCACGGCTTTCCGGTAGCCCTCATCCTCAGGAACAGCCTTGATCTCATCTAGAGTTTTCCTGTAAAGATTTATAAGCACCTCCCTCGCATTTGGCACCACCTCTAGCCCGACGATCCCCGTTGTCTCCTTCACCTTCGCCGCCATCATCAATGGCCGTACCATTCTCCGGAGAAACATTTTTTCTCTGTCGGGAACCTAGGAGAGGGGAGGAAAAGTGTGAAATGTAGAGTAAGAAATGGAAGATAAAGTATTCTCTCCGATAGAATTGCAAATTTTGACCTGCAAATGACAATAAAGGGATAAAGGTTTTTAGTAATCTCGGATTAGATACTAACCTTTTAAGTAAACCAAATAAACACAAAATTATAATTTTGGGATCCATTTATACCACCATTTAACGCCTCCGCTACCCTTCCCCGTCGTTACACAAAAGCCCTTGGGCTTTTGCCTTGAATATTACTAAATTAAAGTCAATTTCCAAAATTGTGACCAGTTTTATATAAGGACATAAATGTGACCAAAGGGTCATATATTTGGAAAAACATTGTCTGCCAGATTTTTATGTCACTGTTAAATCTTTATGTCACTGATTCAATGTCACTTTTGAATGTCATTGTCGGTGTTCGTGTCACTTTTAAATGTCACTACTGTTTTCATGTCACTTTTACATGTCACTTCCGTCGTCAAACATGTCATTGTGCCCGTTAACCATGTCATTATGCCTTTGTCGGCTACTTTTTCCGGTGAAAATGACATCTACCGCCACCGGTGACACCGCCATAGTGAAACGACGACTCCGGTCACTTTGTCCCATTCTTCCCCGGCCCCTCACAGCCCTGTCACTACCTACCCGCCCTATCGCCGATGCCGACCATCACCTTGGACCACCACCACCAACCACTACCCCACCCCCGTCTTGACTCCCCAGTCCCCAGTCACCTCCCCGGCCACTGCCACCGCCCAGTGACCAACACCATTGCCAACCAATCTCCATGTCCCCGCCACCGTCGCATTGACCCGGCCGCCGAGGGTGTCACCGCCAGTCACCACCACGAGCCAGCCCCCCTTAGCCCCAACCTCCGGCCCCTATCTAGCCCCCACCACAGCTTCCCCAAAACCATGCCTAGTCCTTCCCTGCCCCAAGCTCAACCTCCTGCGACAGCCTCATCCCACCACCACAATCCACCCTAACCCCTGCAACTGCGGCATCCCACTACCACAACTGCGGTCGGCACCACGAGACCCGCCCCTTGTCCCACCCCCAGACCACTCCCCTAGTTCCAGCCTCGATCAACCCCTCCCCTCCCCACCTCCGACAGCCCACCCCCGCCCCCATGATCCTCTGCCCTGTCCCAGCCTCATCCCACTCCCCCAGATCTAGCTACAGCTTCGAATGACACAACCCCGATCCAACCCTTCTCAGCCCGACCTCCAACATCCCAGCCCCGACCACTCGTCGTTGATCGAACCCTAGCTGTAACACTTGAGATTTAATTTAAACGGATTAATAGTACTACTCATACCAACAAGGTGCATCTCTTTTTAAGGGAGCTCATTAGCCAAGAACTCCAAAGTTAAGCGTGCTTGCACGGGAGTAGTCTTGGGATGGGTGACCCCCTGGGAAGTTTCTCAGGACGCGCACGAGTGAGGACAAAGTGCGCGGAAAAGGCTAGTGGCGGTTTGTGAGGACAGTACTAAAGGTCAGAAGTAACTACCTCGGGACCTACGGAGCCGGGGTGTTACAAATGGTATCAGAGCAACCCTGCGACAGTGTGTTGATCCGTTGGATATCGGGCAGGCACTTAGCGGGGGAAAAGATTCTGGGATTTGATTGAGATTGGTTGATGGGCGCAACGAGGACGTTGCGTTCCTAAGTGGGGGTGATTGTAACACTTGAGATTTAATTTAAACGGATTAATAGTACTACTCATACCAACAAGGTTCATCTCCTTTTAAGGGAGCTCATTAGCCAAGAACTCCAAAGTTAAGCGTGCTTGCACGGGAGTAGTCTTGGGATGGGTGACCCCCTGGGAAGTTTCTCAGGGCGCGCACGAGTGAGGACAAAGTGCGCGGAAAAGGCTAGTGGCGGTTTGTGAGGACAGTACTAAAGGTCAGAAGTAACTACCTCGGGACCTACGGAGCCGGGGTGTTACACTAGCCGTCGCCATCCCCAGATCTGAGCGAGGCGCAGCAATGCGAAGGAGTGGCCGGAGAGGCGATGGGAAGCGATGTGTGGCCATTGTGGCGACATTAGTGGAGGGAGGCAGAAAATCGCAGAGGAGAAGAAGAGGAAAAAATTTTGCGCAGGTGAGAGTGAGACGCAAGGGAAGCGTTGGAGAAGAAGAGACGGGAGACGTGGGAGATTTGTCCTGCTCACTTTTTTGTCCATTCAATTTTTTGTCACATTTATGTCTCTTAAAAGCCGAGGAGTTATATTCATGTCATTCTTTCAAAGCCCTTCCCCTTCGTTACCCAAAAGCCCTTGCCCACCCCAATCCCCGTCGTTCCCCGCCGCTCTGCCTTACCCCCTTGCCCACCCCAATCGACCTTGTCCATCCAACCCCTGTCCTGCCCTTGCCAGCTCCCCAGCTCCAGATCCGAGCAGCCAACCCCCGATCCGCACTCCCTAGCTCGAACTCCGACCAGCCATCCCCATCCTCCCAAACCAGCCCCCACCCGAGCCCCAGCCTCCTCGCAACCCCCCTCTCAGCCTCGTAGCCCTTGTCACCTGCCAAGCTGCCGGCAAGATCCTATAGATCAAACAGAGCACGACCAGAACTAGATCTTTGCCAGAGACGTAGAGATGAAATGACGGTAAGGCAGAGCGGCGGCTTTGATGGCAAGGCGGGGCGGCGGCTTCGACGGCAAGGCGGAGCGGCGGCTTCGATGGCAAGGAGGCGCGGCGATGAGGCGGAGCGGCGACGAGGTAGGACGATCGACCTACATCGTTGCTTTCTCTCCTTAATCCCGATCCTTTCCATTGTTGTCTGCTCCAAGGTAGCTTTAATTGGATGGGGGAGTTAACGGGGAAGGGGTGTTAACGGGGAAGGAGTTAAAGGGTGGTCAAAATGGACCCAAAAACTATAATTTTGTGTTTATTTGGTCTACTTAAAACGTTAGTGTCTAATTCGAGATTCACTAAAAACCTTAGTGTCATTTTTGGTCTTTATCCCGACAATAAATGATGCTTGGTTTTTACATTTTTGCCCATCTTTCTAAAAGTAGATGTCTTTAAGTTAATGGGAAAAAAGTAAAAAGTAAGGGTAAATTTTTCACTTTATTCTTATTTACATATCTAAAATAGAAAGTGGAAAATCATTTTGGGACAACCAAAAACGGAAATTTTGTAAATCAAATTGGGACGGAGAGAGTATATTATAACTTTGATAAGTACATACTACCTCCTTCCCGAAATAATTGTCCTGATTTGACCTTCACACAGATTAAGAAAGTGAAGTTGACTTCACAGTGTAGTGACGTTGTTTGACACTGTAGCGACATTGTTTGGCACTGTAGCGACACTGTTTGGCACTGTTTTGCACTGTTTGACACTGTTTTGTATAAATTTGTTTACCAAATAAGGAAAGGAGACAATTATTTCGGGACGGATCGAAAAGGAAGGCAAGACAATTATTTTGGGACGGAGGGAGTATCTCTCTAGTTCTATTTTAATTGCAACATTCCTTTTTTCGCCTTTACCAACGCACAATTTTGATCGTTATTATATTTAATTCCGTATTAGTAAAAATAAAATAAAAATCAGATTATAAAACTTAGTAATGAGACGAATTTAACAATATTTTTCAAAAAAAATCATACATTAATAAATAAAATGAAGTCAAAGTAAAGTACATGAATAGTGTATATATTTCAATGTTGCAATTCATGTGATACAGAGGATAGTAGTGTTTTTTATCTATAAATCTTGGGTATGTACATATAGAACTTTTTACTACCTAACTTTTATTGTGGGTGCAAGAGTTTAGAAGCCCAAATAGGACATTTAGGACTATTTTTTAGAACTGCTTCTACGCCTCCGGAGAATAAAAACATACGTAGTATATTGAAATATTTTGGTGAAAGTGCAAAAATACTTCTAGTTGTCACGGATTACTTATGCAAACATATTTTAAAAATTGGAGGAGATCAACATCTGAAAAACTGATTTTGATTTCATTTCTACTGGAGACCCATTTAATTCAATGTTAAGAGCCTGTTTGGTAATATAAAAATTGGTTGATTCTTCTAGAATTTATAAAATTTTGACTCAAGTTACTGATTTGCTGATTTTACTGATCTATGAAAAATATAATTAAAATATACTCTCTGTCCCAAAAAAATATTCTCACTTACCTTTTTGGAATGTCCCGATAAAATATTCTCATTTCCCTTTTTGGAATGGTTTATGTGGTTATCATTCATTTACTTTTTCTTACTCGACCACAATTATACATTTCCACTTTATTCACACTTTCTTAAACTCTGGTCCCAATCAAATCGGAAAAATTTTCCGGGACGGGGGGGGGGGGGGTATTTTATTAAGGGAAAAAATTATACTCCCTTCGTATTTTGAAGTTCCTTGCATTAGCTTTGGGAACACAATTTAAGATAAAATAATAGGGGTAGAGTAAGTGATAAGATAGGAAAGATGAGATAAATGGTAAAGTAGAATATAAATGATAAAGTATGTGAGATAATATAATTAAAAGAGTTGTGTGGTAGGATATAATTGAATAAAGGTAAAAAGATAAAGGTGATAATGTATTTTCATGGATAAAACTTTCCTTAAAGGGAAAGTGTATGAAACTTTTAAATAGAACTCAAAAAGGAAAGTGTAAGGAACTTTTAAATACAAAGTGAGTATGAAAGAATAGATAAAACGGTCATGTATAGTTACTTTAACCAATTCAGCCATAAAATTAATTTTAACCTTACTTATTTTGATTAAGATTCAATCCAATGTGTGATTTGCATATTTGGTGGAAAAGTTGACCGATAATGTTGATAAGCCAAAAAAGCAGGGTCATCAAACAACTCTAAGTTTCTATTTGATTGATTCCAATATTCCAGTAAACTAGTAAACAAACAACTCTAAGTTTCTATTTGATTGATTCCAATATTCCAGTAAATTTTAGTAACTTTCACTCTCAAAACCAAATTACATCATAACAGATCATATCAAATTAGACTAGACTTAAACATATCAAAACAAATCTTAACAGTTGTAAA